GTAAGTGTATGGTTTCCTTACTCCTCTTGCATTGACAAATCCTGTCTCTTAATGATACAAGGGCAGTTAAAAATGCTGTTAAAATTGGATGTGTCTTGCAGGAAATGTGACTTGTGGTAACTGGACCTCAAAATACCTGTTCATATGGGCACCCAGGAGCTCTGGTGCCCATCCAACCTCTTGGGTCTTAACAATGTCTTGATGTCCCATGGGATCAAGCTCTCTCACAAGATGCCTGTTACTTCCTGTTTTCATATTGGCCAGAAATAGATTAACAATGGTATTTCCTACTCTGCTCCAGCCAGAGTAGGGAGTTAAGAAGTACTCAGTGATGAAAAAATATTTTTCAGGCTATCTATCCAGACTTCTTGAACTTCCCTAAAGGTTCAGTTGAAATTTTAGGCACTGTTTCAAGGAGCTGTTGCTGGATCCAAATGACTTTATCCAACCCTATTTACAACCTGGCTCTAAAGATTCTCTCAGACCTGAAACTTGGGATACAAACTCATAAGACTGGGGATGATTTATTTGTGCCAATTCTTTTGAATACATTTGATTTTAATTTACAACAGTGCAAGAAAAAGTCGGAACTTTGTGGTTTCCAGTGGTTTTAATATGAAAATTCTTACTTTGGGATGAAGTATTGCTGGCTTTTTATCTGAAATGTGTATTAGAGTTTTTCTGGCATTTGCCAATGAATTGAACTGAGGTGCTGGGAGGGAAAAGGGAGAAAGAGTGATTTAATTTACTGTATTTTTGGATGAGAATTCTAGGTAATAAATTTGATCTGATGAATCAATCTCTCTTTTGAAAACAAAGAGCCTTTAACTGTTTACTCGACAGACTGCAGGGATTTGGGGAGAGTCCTCGCTGCTTATTGGGTAGATAATGCAGATTGCAGATGATGTGCAGATGATGTGCATTTTGATGAATATTTTCCCACTAGACTGCAACTGTTTCTATCTATTAATTTAGATCTAATGGGAAAAGTGTGTTCCTGGGTAGTTTTAAGCTAGGACTTATAAACCAGTTAACACATCGTGGATATGGTTTTGTGTCTGCCTAAGATCTATTGTTGAAATGAACTTTTAAGTGATGGCAACACCTTAGATTCCCATATTCTGTCTATTCCCAAAGAAATCACAACCTGAGCAAAAACCCTGGCATCTAAACCTGGGTGCCTTACTTCTGGCTGACGAGGGAGAGAATATTGACATTTATTGATCTTTAGGACTGGGTTTTATCAGAGTTTCCCAATAGGATGATGGTGACTGTGATGCTTTTGGTGCTGATGATGTATCTCAAAAGCCATGGTTGTTCCACAGGCTGTTGGAAAGGTGGTGAGTGCAGGTGGGGCCATCGGTGTTACAGGCTTAAAAATGCTCTTATGAACTATAATTTATATGTATGTGTGTGTGTGGGGGATGTGTGTGTGTATATATATATTTCATGCAAAGCTACAGCTGAGTGTCCTGATGAGTACGACGAGCTAAGTGTCCAACAAAATAAAAAAAATGAATGAATTAAAAGCCTCAGCCCAAACTCCAGATATTTGAGCTGCTGGGAGCTGGTGCAGTTCCACCCCGTACAGGGAAGTGCTGCAGATTTGAACCAGATGACGCTCTGGCTCTCAGGGCAGAGGCCTGGAATTTTGACTTGCTTTAGAGTAATGTCTTTAACTGATTTCTTAGGTGCAGATTTTGCAAATTTGGCTAATTTTGCTGTTTTGAACTTCTTTCTAATGTGTAAATGCACATGTGTATAGAACTGTAAGGACAAACCATTTGTTTCTTCTTTCCTGGAGTTGTCTTTTGTCTTTATCGCTAAGTAAAGATGTTCAAAAGGATTGTGAGAATGTCATGAGCTTCTCCCTCTGGAATAAAATTGTAATAAAGTTACATTACTTTAATGGGAATATACATTTAAAACACCTTTTGGGGGAAACACAAGCCAATATCCCAGCAAAAAGAAAATAAAGAGATAAGCCAGCGCCTGCCTGCCCGAGAAACTTCTGCTTTGCTTTATCCTGGAGTGATAGGGTGGCTGAGATAGTCTTTGGAAATTACAACTGCCATTGAGAGGGAAGCCAAGCCTTGCTGTATTTCAGAAAATGAAAATGCTGTAGCCTTGGTGGAGGGAGGGGCCGGGTCCCCAGGGCATCTGTTTCCCATCAGTGTCCCACCATGCTTGCAGCCTGGCTTGGCACTCTAACATTTAACCTTCCCAGCAGGAGGTGGACCATAGGGCAACAAGGCTGCGGAATAATGAAACAAGAGTGTAGTGTGGTGTACAAAGCCTTTGTGAGAGCAGAAGTTGAGACATGAAACACTCAGGGTGGGGAGATGCGAAAGTTCCAGATTTTTCTCCAAAGCCCCCAATAGCCTGATGCAGAGACAGGAGCGCGGCGTCTCCCAGCAGGCAAAGGCAAGGCCTTTCCCCATCTATCCATGCCTTTTTGCCCGCTGCTTTCAACTATTATAAAGATACAATTACCTTGGGAGACTGTGGCAGTTCAGTTGATTAGCACGGTGAATTAAAAGAATGAGTCACAAATGACATGTCCAGCTCTTCTCTACTAGTCCTTTGTATTCCCAGTGTACCTCACCCCTGTTGTAAGAAGGTCAAAAATTAGAGAGAGATAACAATTTTCAAGCAGCTAGCACTTAGGAGCAGAATTAACAATCATTCTGTATGTAATTGCCAGTTAATAGTAAATTGCCTTCTAGACTGTAAAATGCAATATAAACTGGTGGGCACCTAAAATTAAATTAATGAGGTATTTGCTGCATTTAAAAGTGAATAGTGCAAATTAATAACTGGGTACAATACTTGTTTTAATATATATTGAGCGGTGCAGCATTTGCTTGTTTAATAATAATTTTAAAAGTGCTACCTGAAAAATTTGCTGTCTGTGGGTAAATTGAGCGGTTGGTGCAGGTTGTAGCCATAATTTTGCTGGTAAAGTCTTCCAGGTTTCTAAATTAAATATCAGAGATTATTTTTTAATTAGAATATAAGCACTGCAGCCTTATTTGATTATGGCAAATTGTGATTTGTATGCTTCGAAATGAAATTATGTTACAGATAAAATTGCACCTTTACACACATATTTTAAGCTGTGCAGATCCTGTTGGTTTGCTCTCAGCTGAGCAGCAGGACTGTGTTTACAGTGTGTTTGTGCCACTGTTTTCTCTAAGTCTATATTTTGCATAATGATTCCCTGGCAAATAAAGGATGCACAGCCTGACCTAGAGTATATTAAAGTAGTTTCAAAGAATGATTTGTGGCACTTGGAACTTCTCATGGTGGCTGCTTCCACCCTGAGGTTTTTGTTGCACGTCCCTGTTTCGGCAACTCCTTTGGCTCAGTGGAGGAAATGCCCCAAATTGTCAGGAGACAAGAGACCCTTTGCAGTGGACTGGACCTGGTTGCTGCACGAGGCGTTGGCACTTGACTGCCAACATGTCCCCAGCAGAGGCGGGGAACGCGTGAATGTTGAATACATGGACCCATTCCCAGGCCTGCAATGCATTTGCTGGACGTGAACATAAGAATGATTCTTTTGCACAAAGACTTGCATTCAATTTTAAGCTTATGAAACCATTACTCAAGCAGCAATCGCTCAGGGTTTGTGTTCCTCCTGATGGAGTATTTATGGCGCGGAGGACGGCCGGGCTGGCACGGCACCAAGGGGGGGAAGCCCTCTTTACTCACTACATTGTCCAGATTTCTCGGTTTGGCTCGTTTTCCCCTCGGTGTGGAGACCTCAGTGTTGGCTGCTTTCCTCGGCTCACCCCCACCCCACTTCCCCGTCTGAAAGATCTCATGTTCCTCAAGTATTTTGGAGATCTTTTGTGTGCATTCAAATGCGATTCTGTCAATGGCGCTGTTACACTGTTTAGAGTCAATAGCTCCCTTCCATCACAGCCAACACAAACTAGCTGTCTCATAGGTCAGTGCTCTTTAAACAAATTACTTGTATCCACAGAGCAAATGATTGTTAATTGCTTCCCACAAATCATACTATTTTTACTATGCTAAACTCCACACGAATGCCTTAGTTAAATTTAAATCACCTGATTATTTCTTGTTCATATTCAATTATTGTTCTGAAGGACGAAATCTGGTGACTTTGCGAAACGAAGGCTAAAAATATATAGAATGGATCCATGATTTTATTGGAAAGCCTTAAAAAAATAAAAAAGCACAGTTACATTCATTTTAATGAAATCCTCAGCATTTCTAATTCATATATATTGCATTTCTTTTTTTTTCTTTTAAGTGCTGTTGTCCTGAAGCAACTTACAGTCACTGTTATTACAGTATTGGTTATTTATTGATCAGACCTTGTGTCAGTATCAGTTGTTAGCAAGCTGAAAAAAATCAAGCTAGAACAAATATTCTTGCCCTTTCTTCAAGCTAGGTCTGCCTAAGTCAGTCAAAGTTTAGTGTTCAAGAGTCAGACCCAGAAAGTCTCTGTTAATGTGTTAAATGGCTTTCTTGGCCTGGAGTAAAACATATTTTTCTGAAAACAATAAGTCAAAGGGGAAGGGATTCTGGTGAACTGTCTTTTCATATAAAGGTTTTTCAGCATGACATACATTTCTAATTAATAGGGCAATGCTAAACATACAGAAATGATTTAGTAGCATCAAGTCAATAGTGTGTTGGATAATGTATATTATATAATAGCTCTTTTTTAAACAGTAGCAATTCCAGGTTTATCAGGGTCATTGTTGTCCCCTTTCTTTTCTGTCTCAAAGGAGGCCAGAAGAATGAGACATACCATTTGTGCTATTGCACAAGTAGACTATTTGTCCTAATCAGTGACACCCATTTACTAGAATTGCTTAAAATGAACTATACCTCATACAGAAATCGCACATTTAGAGTGTTCCATTCATCATCGGAAAATTGAGGGCCAGTAAACTTTTCTGTTCCTCCAGCGGGATCATAGACATGCATCAAAATGTTAAAAAATGATTGGTGAGAGAGAACTG